TAACATACAAGACCAGATCAAATCTGCCCCTGCCCCATCTCCATTGGAGCATATTCATTGAACATCCCTAATTTCAGTGCCTCTCACCCCATTGCCATCACTTTGCCTGTGCAAACACAGTAGTGCTGAGAATGTATGAGACATGCATAGGAGGTGGAAGAGCAAAGTGCAGTATTTCGAGGGCCCTACATGGTACCAGGATCTTGGTTCCTGGATGCTAAGAAGCAGCTGATATAGTCTGTTTCATCCCATTTTTAAAATGCAAAGTTGTTGATTTTTTTTCTTTTTCGTGTCAGGAGCAACTTGAGAAACTGCAAGTCACTTCTGGTGTGAGAGAATTGACCGTCTTCAAGGACGTTGCCCAAGAAATGCCCGGAAGTTTTGATGTTTTGCCAGCCTTGTGGGAGGCTTCTCTCATGTCCCCACATGGGGAGCTGGAGCTGACAGAGGGAGCTCATCCGTGCTTGCCCCGGATTTGAACCTGAGACCTGTCTTCAGTCCTGCCAGCACAATGGTTTAACCCTCTGCGCCACCGGGGGCTCCTAATTGTTGAAGTGACCAAATGTTACAATTAATTATGCTGGGAATTTACATGTTGTGTGGTCACCCTGAACTATAAAAAGGACAAAAAAAAATTGCTGTAAATTTTACTGAGCTGTGAACCTTCTGTGTCTAGGTCACAGTAAATAAAATAAAATGAAACCATTCAGAGCTTGGGGAAGTTGCTAACACCACCAAATTATAACGACCCCCTGTGCCAGCCAAATCCAAGCACTGGCTTTGAGATTCATTGTAACTCTGTGCCTTGGGAGGGCTAAGGATGGTTAAGCCTGTTCCCAGCCTCTCTGACAGCTGCTCCATAAGCGAAAGTCACAAAAGCAGAACAAAAAATTAGCCATCCCAAATTACTTGCTTAGAAGAGTGGGTCCCTTATCAACTTATGACACGGTAAGGGACCCACTCTTGCATACTTTCCCCAGAAGGGTCAAATATCATTGAATTCTTTTAGTTCAGAATATAATTCCATAAAACTATAAACTGTTGCATATTTCACTACTAAGGTTACTTTGATCAGTTCTTTCCTCAGTCATAAAATGCTATGATGGGCCACATTCATTCCCATAAGAAATACTAGCACTCACTGCCCTCTAGTGTTACTATGATGGACTATTAACACCATAAATAACTCAATTTTTCCACAAACTAACTACACCAGAGACAGATGTGCTGATGCATACACGAACAATTCTTTGCATCTCCTTGCATTCATGGATTTCTTAAGGCTTCTTGTAAAGGATTTATAAAGAAATATACTTACAAAACCTGAATATGAAATTTTGCTCCTTGTTTTTGGTGACCAAGACAGCATGCATGGTAAGGAGATTCATATGAATGTTGGAAGATCAGAAACTTGCTTTAGGTTTAGGCTACATTAGCAAACTAATTCAAATGTTAATGTGTGGTTGTGGTTCATACGGCCACCCTTGTAAACTCTCTAAAGTTTCAGGATTGTTCTCTCTGATATTTTAACATAGAGAATATGACATCTAAGCAATTTCAAATGATCAGTCCTCAATGTGATATATAGAAATCAGCATTTTTATTATGAGCTGATACTCAAACAGGTATAACACTACACAATTCCAACAATGATTAATGGGTACTCAATTATATCCAGTGTATATATTTGTGACATCTTGCAAGTTTTTATACAACAAAGCCCATCCTTGTGATGAAAGTAAAGAGAAATCTGAAGAAGTCTTGAACCAAACAGAATTAGAAAGTCAGATTATTAAATATATACGCACATCAGGCAATCAATAATATACCCACATTAAATTCTATATGCTGTTACACTTCAATATTTACTCTTTGTCTTACTAGATAACTTTCTTTTTGTAGAAATGTAAGTGATCTTACTTGTGAGTAATCTCCTTTGAGCCCAGTGGAGCATATTTCTGAATAGACATGTATAGAATTGTTTATTAATTTATCTCCAATATTGAACTAGTTGCTATGAATGAAAATAAAATAAACAGGAAAAGACAAATGAAATACCCTTTCACTTAATTTATCTCTGCTTTTGTTTTGTACCTCCATGTCATTTCTGGCTTATGGCAACCCTAGTGTAAGTCTTATTATGGAGTTTTCTTGGTAAAATTTGTTCAGATAAGATTTGTCATGTCTTCCTTTGAGACCAAAACAGTGTGATTTGCTCAGTGTGACCCAATAGGTTTCCATGGCAGCAGGCATGTAGCCGGGGGGGGGGGGCTCGAGGGGGGCTTCAGCCCCCCCCCCCGAAATTCTCATGGTGGTTCGCGAAAAGGCCTTACTGGAGCATTATTTAAACTGTTATGTTTATTCATATCATGATCTGATCACCATACTCAATATATCCCATATGCATGGGGGTATTGGGGTAATGATACAAAAGGTTTGCTAGGGTAGACGCTCTTTCACTCAGACTCAGCCCCCCCCGAAAGCCCCCCTGAAAAAAAATTCAGCCCTCCCCCCCCCCCAAAACGAAATCCTGGCTACGGGCCTGCATGGCAGCAATACTACTAACCCTGTTCTACCAGAGTCCTAGTTCAGCCTTTAAATCACTATGACACTCTGGCTCTCATCTCTTTCATTATGCATGTTGTTTGAAAACCCCATGAATATCATAGTATTTTCTCAGGTAAGGAATACTCAGAGGTGAGTTTGCCCCTTCCAACCTCTGAAATATAACCTACAGCACTTGATATTCATTGCTGGTCCCCAATCAAAGTACTAACGAGGGCTGGTCTGATAACATAAGCTTCCAACATAAGACAGGATCTGGTGCTCTTAGGGTATTTACTATTACTTCCTTCATTTCTTATATCATAAATTTCTGGAACTGACCAGTGGCATTGCATAGTAAACTGATGCAGATTGAAAAGTTATGGCAAAAAGAGGAGATCTTGGAAAAATTTGATGAGAAAAATTTGATTAGAGCAAAGTAATAAAATTCAGAATCAGGAGACAGAAACCATTCAATTGCCAAACTAAGGTCCCTTCCACACAGCTGCATAAAATTTGGATTATATGGCAATGTGGACTCAGATAACCCGGTTCAACGCAGATATTATGGATTATCTGCCTTGATATTCTGGGTTATATGACTGTGTGGAAGAACCCTTAGATATATCACTCCAGCCTTAATTGCTTAAACAATGATCTGCCTGAAATATGACTGATTTGGTGCCTAATACAAACATGATTCCTTTTTGGTACCAGTTGCATAAAACCATGAAAGAAAAAGTTGTGTGTTGGTGAATTCCAATTGATGTAGACTTATGGACAATTAATTTTACATAATTGTGATTTAACAAATTCTCATTAATTCAGTGGAGCTACATTGGAAGGGATAAACAATGGAATTTAGGTTACTGGTTTCAGAAATCAGTGTGTGTCTGCATTGCAATCAAATACAGAAATAAAAACAAACAAGCCAAAACATGACAAGAAAAAACCAAAATGAATTAAATTGTTAGAAAAGGAAATATATTCCAAGTACATATCCTCAATTTAAAAAACATCCATAGCCCAGCACCAAGATGACAACTGCATGTGGGAAATATGCACACAGGAATGTGTGTGCATGCACACGTTTTCATTCCATTTGAGTTTTAGATTAAAATATATTCACATTAACAAAACAGTATAAATCAAGGGTGGGCTAATGCAGAAGGAGGGCTGCTGTCTCACTAGACATGCGCCTTCAAAAAAAATCTAAGGCCCCTTCCACACAGCTGTGTAAAATCCCACATTATCTGCTTTGAACTGAATATATGGCACTCTGGACTCGGATAACTCAAGGCGCTTCCAGACAGCAATAAATCATGGGTTTTAAACAGGGGCAAAAAATCCCAGGACTTCAGAAGAGGTCCACATACAGACCTCTTGGTCCCGAGATTTCTGCCTCCATTGTCCAGACTTAATGCTTTGCTGCGAAATTTAGAGGCTCCCAAAATGGACTCCATGGAACTTCTGCTGGAACCCTTGGCAGGTTTTTTAAAAATACAAAACATGCGGATGCTCAAATATGTGGAAATCCAGATACATGGATCATTGCAAAAGTTGCATTCTTTGTCTTGGCCAGAGAAACCGTACCCTCAACATGTTTCATATGGAGGATACAGTTTTTGCCTTCTACTCAGGTGTCACCTTCTTTTTAGGAACCGACCAATCAGGAACAAACATCTAAAACCCGGGAACAAAACTAGATTAAAAATCCCATGATTTCCAATTGCAGGGACATACAGGTATTCGACGATGCAGATATTCAGCTCAAAACAGTGATATTCCTGCACCTGGAAATCTCATGTTTTTTTGCCTTTTGTAGTGATTGCTTCTATGTTTGCAGGGAACATCATCTGAACTACCCTCCAGTTTGCTGCAGAAGCTCCTGGGATAAAGGTACTGTCTGGACGGGACCCCAGTTCAAAGCAGATATTGTGGATTATCTGCCTTGATATTCTGGATTATATGGCTTTGTGGAAGGGCCCCATACTTTTGCCCAAATGCTCTCTGTGGGATGGGGCATCTTTTATAATGTTTTTGAACCTTTATAGGCCAATTTAAGCAGGAAGTGAGGGAAAGCACTTTCTGCGCAAAAGAAGATGTCTCTTTGGCCTAAACTGGTAGAGAGTTATCTCCAAATGTGGTGGAATGTGCCCCTCATTCCTTCAGAGGGCCCTTCCACACAGCCATATAACCCGGAATATCAAGGCAGAAAATCCCACAATATCTGCTTTGAATGCGGTTATCTGAGTCCACACTGCCATATATTCCAGTTCAAAACAAAAAAGTGGGATTTCATTCAGCTGTGTGGAAGGAGCCATAAAGGGCATTTGTGGACAATGAAGTTTTGTAAAAACAATAGTTTACTCCCTGTGGGGTCTCAAGGGAGTTTCATGTGTGTGTGTGTGTGGGGGGGGGGGGCATTGGAACAATGTTTGTACCATGTGAGACTGGGGTGAACATTTCACCCTTAGGCCTCACTTTGCCTATTCCTAATACAAGACCACAGTTGAAAAATGAATGTATGTAAAATGAAAAATGAATATATGATATACAGGTTCACTATAGGGAGGAAATGCATGCCTTCACATCTTTTGTTCACTTTCAAAGAGCTAAGTGGGATAGTTATGATTAACATGATTGGATGTAATGCAGATGCTATATGCATCTTACAAGGTAGCACAGCCACTGAAAAGACCTTTCAGACATCATTTCTCAGTAACCTCTACAGGTAACATTGTTGATAGATGTGTCTCTGCTACTGATCTTAGGACCTGAGGTGGTCAATTGAAGTTAGGATATTTTTTCAGGCACTTAGGATGCAATTTATTTAAGACTTCATAAATCAATAGATTGAACCAAGCTTTGGAAATGACACAATGCAGATTCTTTAGGACTAGAGTGATACAAGTCCTATGAATGCTACTAGTCAGTACCTGGTTTGCTACGTTCTGTAACAGCTTCAGCCTCCACATTGTCTTCAAACACCAAACAGAGCAAGCACATTGCCACAGTCTAATCTAGAGGTTAACAGAACATGTATTATTCTGGTGCATAGAACTGTGATGATGCATGGAGCATTAATACTCTCTGCCACTAGACTTTAGGTAAGGGGAAAATAGGTGCTATGGAATATGTGCCACATGAAATCATTGTTTGTCTTTTTAAGTCCAAAGCAAACAGTTTCTCTATGAGTTGGTTTGATCTGAATGCTACTGTTTAGTATTGCACTACAAAGGTAGGAAGCTAAGTAACTACAGTTTATATGAACTCAACTTGATAACATCTTTCTATGCATGATGTAAACTCTATTACTATTATACTCATGCAACTCTGAGAGTAAGAGCCTGCAAATTAAGGAACAGATGGTGATTAGATACACCAACTGTGATATTACCAGGTCAACCAGGTATAAACAACTACTCGATGCTGCAGGATAATTGAGAATAGAAGGAAATGAAGTGGGATGTGCAATCTAGGTCGATACGTCTTGTCAATAAAAAATCGTGCATCTGCTTAGTGCTAAGAAGCTTCACTGCCTACTACAGATGCTTATGTATAAAGGCAAGCTTTCTTCTTATCTCATCCTGACTTGTCACACTATGGCAGCTAATGTGACCTGCCAGCAAGCCACTGCATTAACCACAGCTTTGTCTGGATACAGCTCCAGAAGACTCAGGAGCATTGGGATTTTACTGCCTTTAAGACTGTATCCCACTTACTGTTCTTGTGCTCCAACTGCTGTTTCCTAAATTTGTGTTGGAACAAATCATTTGTGTCTTCATCTTCAGCTTCTGAGATGATCTCCATTTTTTGTACAACCAGCTTAAGGAGGTCATGCTGCTTCTCCAAGAGTATTGCAATATCCTTAAGTCTAAAACACACACACACAAACAATCAATTGATTAAAAAAATAATTAGGGCATGAACGATTTTTAATTTTGACAATGAAAACAGCTCTCCTAATATTTATTATTATTATTATTATTATTATTATTATTATTATTATTATTAAATTTATTTGTACCCCGCTAGCATCTCCTGAAGGACTCGATGCGGCTTACAAAGGCCAAGGCCTCAAACACAACATAACAATACAATAAAGCAAATTAAAAACAGTTAAAGCAATATTAAACAACAAGCAATAAACAATACATCAAGACACAATAAAACTGGGCCGGGCCAGAGTAATGGGTACAGATTAAAAGTGCTGATGTGACAGGTGATATGTAAGGATTATAGGGTAAGTGCAGTGTGCGGCAATCTTAATTCTAATAAAGTGCTTCTGGGACTTGGTATTGGAGATTTCCTAATCAGGAAAGGCACATCGGAACAGCCAGGTCTTCAAGTTCTTTCTGAAGACTGCCAATGTAGGTGCTTGTCTAAGATCCTTGGGGAGAGTGTTCCAGAGACGGGGGGCCACCACGGAAAAGGCCCTGTCCCATGTCCCCACCAAACGTGCTTGCGACAAATATAATCAGAACATTGTCTTTTGAATATGATTTAAAAAACTAAAGATGTTATTTGGGGGGGGGGGCGGACTGTACTGTAGCTGATAGCTGCTAACCACTGCACTGCAATTTCAGAATATAGTATGAAACATTTCTAAAGAGATGCAGTGAATGCAAAGTTAATAATTTTTGAAACCCAACTACTAGTCTGGAGTGGGATATGCACAGTGCAGTTTACTTAGGCATCAACTTGTTGAATGTTCAATCTGATTTAATATGTTTATTGTGATTTTCTAACAAAAGATATATATATAATCTTAACAAGATCAAATATTCTAATAGTGAAGAACTGTCACAAAATAACAGAGAAATTATAGCTACAAAATTAAAAGGGAAAATTAGACGTGGTTTGAAACTCCACTTCCACAATGCAAGCAGTGCATTGCTGCACAGGGATAATAATCTGTACACATTATGTAACATTATATTTTACGATTGAATTTGTCACTTTGATTAAATCATTATAATAATATTTCTTTTCAAAAATAAAAGTATTTACCTAACCTTCAAATAATCACCATAGTTACTATTAGCTGTTTAAAGGGTATGCATAATTTTGGGACACCCTATGTTTATTGTAAAAGTTGTAAACAAAGATTTAAAATAAAAAATATGGGTTTTGGACTGCAAGAAAATAGGGGGGGAAACATTATAACTGTGCCATTAACTAGATTTGTACAGACATAAAAAATAACCAGTACCTGTACTTCTGTTTTAATACTTCTAGCTCTAACGATGTGTCAGCGCTGGGCATATCTGATGCTCTATCATCACATCCAAAGCAATACTGAAACACACTCTGATAAAAAAAGTGATTGCAGTGTAAATTAGGAATAATAGCCAATAAGGAATTGGTCTCAGAAATAAACAAACACATTTCTCAGACTTGACCACAATCTTGCATGGCTCAGTGTGTCACATCTGAAACTACCAACACATTGTACCATTTCCCAGCTCCTTAAACCTATTGTAAAGCAGCTGAAAACCCCTTCATAGTCATTTCATGCCTATTGAATTGTGTGTGTGTGTGGGGGGGGGGGGGTATCTCACAAGTGGCTGTCAAGTCAGATGCAAAGTAATTACATCATTTGCTGGGGTACGGCAGGGTCCTGTTGAGATCCTAGTGGCTAATAAAATAAATCTGCATCTAGTTATGTAGATATTGCCAAATATTGAGGTGATCATACATGCATGCACACACACTACAGCAGGCAAAGAATGGCCTTCAGTGACTCTGTGGTACATAGGCTGTACATCAGGCATATGGACTTCAGTTTTGGTCACTGTTAAGGAAGGAAGAGAATGCTGATCTCTGCGGTGACCAAAATAGATAGCTGTGTATGCTATTTAGTGGGATGCCAATGGGATAATCACTCAGCTTATTCTGAACCCCCCTGAGACTTTGATATATTCCAATTATTATCTCATAGATAGCTCAACAGGATTGAATCCTTCCCCAACTCTTTTTCTTTTCTGAAATAATAGAAACTAGATACAATTTAGGAGGTATTCTTGATCTTACCATGAATCCACAATATCTTGGCCTGTTAGGATAAACAGTGATTGATTCTTGGTCAACTCTGCTGAGAAACCAATATGGCAGTTTCTTCTCCAAGTTTGTGTGAAGATTGACCTAAACAAAACAAATACTTTATTTTTGTACAAGATGTAATCTGCAGAAAATAAATATTGGTACAAATGATCTCTGTTTACACTCTAATTTAGATCATTTGTTCTGCACAGAAAAATGGTTACAAAACTTAAGTTAATGCTCATCGTCAGACAGAATAAGATTATGACTTCCTTTTCCTTAGTAAGAAAAGGAGGACAAAGGACCCTTTGCACACCACCTTTGTAACACATGTCATGAATTATTATATTTAATTCTAATGTTTATCACTGCAAACATAGCTTGAAGGCAGTAATTCATGAAATTACTATAGTTGGTTATGATTTTTAAAAGCTACTGAACTCTGTAAACTTCATGTTTACTTTACAGAATCCATTTATACTTCCAGGTTTTCTTTATTTCCTTCAAATACAAATTAAGTATTATAACATGTTCATAAACGTGTCTATAACTCTAATACTAACTATGAAAGCACTCAACTTTATTTCTCCTCCATTTTTCTCAAGATCATTCATTCCCATGAGTTTCCATACTCTTTCTCCATTTCTATCCATCTCCTTGCCTGCGCTGTTGGTACTGAAAATCTATCTGTAGGCCCAGAGCTTCTTTATTCTTTCCTCTGCCTGGCAGTAGCCTTCTGTCACCTGTCATTGCCCTAATATAATTGGTACCAGATCCTGAAACAAAAAGAGACACTGCTTCCTTCTGCAGGAGATGGAGCTTGAGCAGCTGCAAGGTGAAAGGAGGTTTATTTTGGTAGGCTTACAGCTGATTAGTAAAAGGAACTGGCTCCTTCAGTCTCCTATCTGGTAGATTAGGAGGATCCCATAGAATAATAATTGGTTAAGAGTAAACTAAACTGTTTTCTAGTTAGGAGGGAAATGATTCCGCTTTTCCCAACAAAATCAAACATCATAGTGCTGTTTAATAATAATAATAATGCAAAATGAACAAATACAATAAATAATACACATAGAAAGTAACCACACATAAATTAATAAAACAAATTAACACAACAATATAAACATAAACAAACAACAAAATTAAAGAAAGGCTTTGCCCAAGACTATTATGATGTATGTCTCTAACCTGCATTGCTATTCTTTTCAACGCAGCAAATTTCTGTACCTCTGCAATGTCCCCAACAGCCAAACCAATCTATAAAATGCAAAAAAGAATAAACAAGTCCATTCAGATCCTGTTTCAGTTATATTCCACATCAATATTATTTTAAGAGAATCTAAATATTCCTATGCATATGATGAATCAGGTCATTAAAATTAAAAGCCATGTTTCAGCACCTGCCTACTCCCAATTGCCCTGTCTCTGGATCAGGAAGCGATTTACCAGCAATAGCAGTTTTATTTGGGATTCCATCTAGTTACAGTAGTGATTGATTATTTATCATGGTCCATTCATTAAAGCTGGAGTACTATTTTAGTAAGAACAACTGAAGTGTAAAGTAGTTGGTATATCCTCCCTTTTCTGGATTGGCTTAGACCAATTTTTGAATGTGATTCATTTCATAAAGGCATTGTACAGATAAACTAGATGTGCACTGCATACTGCAAAACTCCTACAAGAAAGGACAGAGAAACTAAAATATATAAATGGTTTTAATTGTATAGTTTTGAACAGATTATATTACACACACATATTAAAAAACAAGATTTGAAACAAAATCATAATAATTTAAGATAATTGATCTAAGCCAAAATATACATACTTCTGTATTTTATGAAGTACAAACTTGCAAATGTAATATATCTTACAGAGAATTTTGATACTGAATTGGGTTTCATTAAAAAGAAGTAAATTGTAGACAGGTTTAGCCAGAAGGGCTTCCACAAGCTTATACCCAGAGCCTGAAACCCATTATAAATAAGTCATCATGAGTGATCCCAACCTGACTATCCTAAGCCTTCCTTGGCAAGATTTATTCTGAGATTGGCATTGCCTTTCTCTTACAGTGGACTGTAAGACATCCAGTGAGTTTCCATTCATACTAAATCATGTTTCTTGTCATTGTTGTTGCTGCTGTTGCTGTTGTAATGTATCTTCAAGTCATTTCCAACTTTTGGCAATCCTAAAGTGAAAATATTATTATTCATCCTCCTCCCCCCCCCCCTTCCTCTTCCTTCTTGTTATTGTATGTCTTTAATTCATTTCTGAGGTATGACAGCCCTAAGATGAACCTATCACACAGTATTCTTGGCAGAAATGATTAGGGAATAGTTGCCTTTCTATTCTAGTTGTTCCATTTACAACTCTAACAGTGTCTTTCCCACCAAATTAACTAATAATTAAAATGCAAAAACTATGACTATGTCATAAACCTTCATATTTAGCCTTTAATACTTACCAGTAAATTCATAAGAAGAATTGGAATAAGCAGGGTGAAAACTATAAGAATTAAATAGCTCAGTAACGGATAAGGTAGTCTATTGGTCAACATTGGTTCAAGGAAAGCATCATGATAATTTATATCTCCTAGCATCATGGCAAAGGTCTGCATTACAGAAAGATATGGAGTGCCATATGTTTCCTAAACAAAAAAGAAAAACAAAAGGCATTCACCATCGCAATGTTCTACAAGTTTTAGTCTATGCATACATATATAGCTTTATTCCTTCCCATGAGCTGTTGAAATACAGCTTCATTGTTTAACTTTTATCAATGCAACCATTACTATTCCTTTTAAATGAAAAGATCTTCAAAACACATGAGATATTTCCCTACTAACATTTGAACCCCTTACAGACATGTATTGCAGAATTCACTAAGGATGTATCAAGACACCATAACAGATTTTCTTTTTATTATCCAAGGTCTATTAACACTATAAAGTTTTAAAGGTCTGGTGCTAGAGGAATGCTGCATCTAGGGAACTGTTAGGACACTGCAGCCCTCACTAATGCAATACAAGCAGTCCCCATGTTATGAACCTATCGGTTCTGTAGGTTTGCTCTTTTAAGTGTAACTCCAGCCACACACACACATATTATACATACACATACACACATACAATATATAAAAGCTTTGGATAAGAAAGGCAAGGGCTAACACTCTGTGGAGTTTGCTTTCTGTGCCCCTGTTCAGAAGATTCACTTTCTGACCCTATGATAATTCAATTTTGAAAAATTTGGCTCATTGTGGAAACAAGGATTGGTGATAAAGCTTCAGCAGAGACACCTTTTCCCCATGATAACTGTTTCAGTAAAGAATTTCCCTTCCTAGGGGTTGATTTCTCTCACTTCCTGTTGTCTCACCCCTGTTCTTTTTTTTTAATTAATCATTATCGGTTTTATTTTATGAATTAAAAAAAAGTTGGGTAGGAAGGGGAAGGGAGAGAAAGGAGGGGAGGAAAGTTGGGTAGGAAGGGGGAAAGGGAGATGAGTTGTTTGCAAGCCAGATTCTTGTAACTTGGGGACTGCCTGTACTTGAATATAGAACAAAACCTACAATATGAAACAAAACACGGGTTTTATTACAAAAAATAGCAAAAAACACAAATAACAATCAGGTTGAATAGTATGGTAAAATAACAACTTGATCTCTCATGCTTCTATTTAAAAACACAAGCTCTTTCCAAAGGAATACATTAAAAATGTCTTTACACTGCCTACTCTCAGATTTATGAACAGATGCAAAACATATTGCATTAACCATTGTTGATAAAACATTTGTGTAAAATAAAAAAAAATATTTTACTGTATTAGTAACAACAACAAAGCATTACAATAAGTTGGCATTCCAAACCTGTGAACCGAGAAGAACATGGAAGCTGAGCCCAAAGGCTAACATTAAGAAGAAGAACACGATCGCAATCCGGATCAGAGTCCTTAGAATCTCCCAAAACATCACAACATATATTCCAAAATTTTCGAATCTAAGACAGACATGAAGAAATGTATAAAATAGCCTTCATTTCTCTGTCGTGGTAATATGATAATGTTCTTCAGTACTCCAAAGTTTATGAAAGCAAATAACATGTTTTTTCTCTCATTTAAAATTGCCCCCATCTAAATTATGAAGATCTAAGGGCATGTATGCACATACATAACTTTGGCCACCAATGGAATGGCTCCATCGATGGAATAGAGAAGGGCTCCCCCACCCCCCTCGCCTGCAGGGCAAAACACCACCACACAATGAAAATACTTTATTTTAAGGGAAATCCTAGAAGTGTACGTTTCCTAAATCCCAACTTCCCAACAGTCACCTCTACAGTTTCAGAGCCTAGTCTTACCTGTGCCTAGAACAATTGTGATTTCTTCTCACGAGCAACCACATTTTTGTGGCATCCTGCCAGCTAATCAGGAGTGAGATTGCAGGCAGTTACAGGCAGGAGAACCAGACTGATGGAAATTTCAGTCAGCTCTGCCTCTTCTTTTTAAATCATTGCGCCAAGCCAAGTCACAGCATTTGGCTTTGGAGCAGCATCTGCACCCTCCCCCGCTTTGGGTTAGTCTGCATATTAATTGGAGTTTCTAAAATCTGTCACAATTTTGAAAGACTGGACATGGAGCTAGCTTGGATTTGGGTATGGGTTTGGGCTTTGGCACTCATTATTTGGTTATGTGTATCAGGGACCTTCCTTTGCAGATCTCAAATTGGAGCTGTTAGGGGCAAGCCTATCTCAGGAGTGTGACCTGGCCATAGCTTCCAGTGGCAGGAAAGCATGCAGTTGCTTATGCCTGTGTGGTTTCTCAGTAGTTCACCTTGGGTTCCTCCTAGCAGCTAGACTGATTGGGTGTGAGTTTGATCAGTCAACAAACAAATAACCTGATAAACCTATTTTGTCCCATACCAAATCACCTTTTTAGTTGTAACCAATAATTGGTGTGGTCTGGATGTTGTCACACAGAACCCCAATTTAGTTTGAGAACTGCAGTAGAACCCCCTATTAAGCTGATAAGTAGGAATGTATCCTTGAGGGAGCTTCCAGACAGCACTGAAACCCATGCAGAAATGGATTAAAGTAACCTGTTTTGGTATGGGTTCTAGCCCCCACCCCCTCCCAAAATCCCAGAATACCCCTCCCAGGGTGGCAACATGAAGCCCCCCCCCCCAAAGCGCCTGATTTACTTCCTGAAACTTACTAAAAAAAGTTCCTGGCCATCATAGGGTTATTTCTCGCATCCTTGTGGTGTGAGGAAATGACATCTTAGGAGATGCGAGGGGTGAGGAGGAAAATCTCTCCACATCTCCGCATCCCTCTCCTCAGGCATCATTTTCTCGTGCCATGAGGATGCAAGGAGAGGCTCTATGGTGACGAGATATCTTTTCCAGTAAGTTTTAGGGGGTAAATTAGGAACTGTGGCATCCTGCCAGCTAATCAGGAGTGAGATTGCAGGCAGTTCCTCCAGTTTTTTCATCCCGTTCCTCCAGTTTTTTCAAAGCCTGAAGAAGTGGGATGGCTGTGGAGACTCACCCCCAGGACTGTGGAATAATCCTGGGAGACAGTTCCCACAGGCTCAGCACCTCATTAGACTCTGATCTTTCATAAAGTTCCAGATCTAATGAGGTGTTTAATGTAGAGTAAACCAGGGAAAGCCCGATATACACATTAATTTGCTTTTACTAAAGGCATCATTTGGATGTCTCAGGTAAAACCGAGACAGGTCCTGCGTTTGGGCCTGTTTCGATGGGCCCTGAGTGGTTCAGCTATATACTGAATTATTTACCAGTCTAGAGAGTGAATAGCTGAAGTTGCTTATCTTGAAATTCCAGTCAACAGGATGCAATTTTCACACCCTGATGTTTCGGAGCTCTGATAGACTCCATAGTTTCCCAATATATAATGCAAACTATTCTTTAAAGCTACAAAATGAAAACTGAGAACCAATCATCTTTTTTATGTCAATACATTATCTAATCATGTATATCAAATAAAATGAATCTATGGCTTTATTGCCAAACTATACAAACATTCTGTACATCTTTAAATGGTATGCTTTAGGGTTTACCTTTGCAGGTACAGCAAAAAGTTCATCCAAGACAAGAATATAGCAATTGCACCACATTCCCACTGTAGATTAGCTGGGAGGTTAATGAATAAAGATGATACAAAAATGATGCTTGTAGTATAAATTATCCAGTCAAGGAGATTGGAATAATCCAGCAAATATCTCAGTTTCTATGATATAAAAACAGTAAATATTAATGTTGTCAGGTAGGATTTAAAGTAGAAGTATATACATTCTTTCTGGAAAAAAAAATTTCAAAAGAAAACACATTGTTTTCAACCATCATTAAAACCATGTCCAGAAATGCAAAAACAAAATTGCATATACCTGTTGGAAAAGCTGTACTATTTCTTTGCAGATTCCAAAAACACTCATGATAAAAACCAAACACATACATACTTTTATGAAGTATGAATTCTGAAATGAAAAAAAGAGTTAGTATCAATGTATGTTATAAAGGGATGATTATAACAGAAATATTGATTTGTATTATTTAAAAAATACTGTTTTAATTATTTACTGGGAGTGTAATCTATTACTAAATTGGACAGAATACTAGACATCCAGGTTCCAGTTTGTCAATACAGAATATTATCTGAATTACTCCGGGCACTAGAGGGTTAAGTGTTAAACTGTACAACTCAAGATCAGGCTCATCCTGTGTATTCATAAATAAATGCAAACATTAAAAATAACAAGCCTCTTTCAAAGAAAATCTAGAGTGTATCTACATTGTAGAATTAATGCAGTTTGGCAACACTTTAACTGCCATGGCTCTATGGTAAAGAATCATGGGAACTGCAGTTTCACAAGGCAATTAAAGTGGTATCAAGCTGCATTAACTGTAGCATAGAAGCATCCTAAATAATATTCCCCCTGAAATATCTCATCACTTGGAAAACAATTCAATTCATATAAAAACATAGAACTTCTACTGCTATCACTATATTTATTTCTATCCTGCCTTCCTCCCAGAATTAGGACTTGCAGCAGCTTACATAGGTAATGCTTACACATCCCCAGTCTATTCCTCAAATTTACTATTTTAGTGTATTCGGCAATGCCAATGTAATAAATTAAAATTATACCTTTTTACCAAGAGGTCCTGATTTAACAGTTGCATTGTAAGGTAGTTCTGGTCTTTCAACGTGGACAATCAGGAGGGTTAGAGGTATTAAACCAAGGGAATACACAGCAAGGTTCATTAGATGTGCCTTAAACCCATAAGCCATCCTATAAAGCAAAATTTAATTAACTGTCATTTATAATACTTTACAAGGACCACATTTTGTATTTCACTAAGGGAAGCATAGGTGTAAGACTTATAATTCCTACTTTAAAGATAATTATGAGATAGCTCTGTGTATTTGGAGGCACTTAAATTCATTTAAATTAATAAAATATGCATAAATAACATTCATGTTGGTGATATTTGTTTCAACTTACTTTCATCTATAGCTGCGTTCCTCAACCTGGAGGGTTGGGACCCCCGGGGGGGTCACCAGAGGGGTCTCCAAAGACCATCAGAAAACACAGTATTTTCAGTTGATTGTGGAAATTCTGTGTGAGAAGTTTGGTCCAATTCTATCGTTGGTAGGGTTCAGAATGCTCTTTGATTGTAGGTGAACTAGAAATCCCAGCAACTACAACTCCCAAATGTCAAGGTCTATTTCCCCCAAACTCCACCAGTGTTTACATTTGGGCATATTGGGTATTTGTGCCAAATTTGGTCCAAATCCATCATTGTTTGAGTCCACAATGCTCTCTAGATGTAGATGAACTACTACTTCAAAAATCAAGGTCAATGCCCACCAAACCCTTCCAGTATTTTTGTTGGTCATGGGAGTTCTGTGTGCCAAGTTTGGTTCAATTCCATCGTTGGTGGAGTTTAGAATGCTCTTTGATTGTAGGTGAACTAGGATCCCCAGCAACTACAACTCCCAAATGACAAACCCCCCCCCCTCCCCCAACCTCACCAGTATCCAAATTTGGGCGTATCAGGCATCTGTGCCAAATTTCATACAGTGAATGAAAATACAATCTGCATATCAGGGATTTATATTACAATTCATAACAGTAGCAACCATAATTTTATGATTGGTGGTCACCATAACATAAGGAACTGCACTAAGGAGTAGCTGTATTAGAAAGATTGAAAACCACTGATCTACAGCTTTCCTATAATTCACGCACCCTTCCTATTAGCTGGAAATCCCAGTTGTGATATTTTATTTCTCTCTTTCATGAAACAACTAGTACAACATTATTTTTGGTACAAAATCTGAAGACAAAAAAAATACCTACCATTTCATAAGCAAATATTCTGTGCAAACAGGATGGCTGAGCAATTCAACACGGTTATGACGTACCATGGCCTAGAAAAAAGGTGCATACATGTCAGATATACAAGTCAATACTACAACTCACAAATATTTCTTAATTGAATCTGTCCAAGCATGTATAATTGAAACAGATATTACTCCAAAGTCATGATTTATTATTTTTATTTATTTTTAAATTTTATTTTATTATTATAATACAACTATAATACACATGTACAAACACATACAAATCCACATACATAGACAACCCACCACCCACGTAGCCAAGGTGATGGGTGCCCTGGGGTGGAACAAGGGGTAACTACAAAGTCATTATTAGTAGTTACATATCTTCTCATTCTTTCTCTAATTTCCTACTGTAACCCAAATATGGGGAAAGGGTTTAAGCCCCTTACTTCCCACCAAGGTCTGGATCCTGCTCGAGTTCCATGCCTTTATTCTAGAATGAAAATTGTGAAATCTTTGAAGAGGATAACTATGTGCTGCAGTCCACTTTTAATTCTCATCAAGTAAAGTAGGTCCTTAATGATCACATAGAAGCATAATTTGGTTTAATAATATTAACTTTCCAGTAAAGATAATATTACATAGATTGGCCACCTATATGACATGGTACCCATATGGTTTTCATTAGTTTTAATTATACCTTGAAAACAAACCCAGTGGTGGTTTATATAGTGTTGGTAAATCTCTCCAAAGCCACCAGGATACCAGTTTACATGAGCAAACACATACAGAAGGAAGAATACACATTTGAGTGACTGCCTGACAATCATTATCTGCATGAGATATTATCAAGTATGCAAGCACAAAAAAAGACTTAAAGAACAGGCTTGAAATCAGATCGGTATAGCTTACATTTAGATTGTGAAGTGGTTCATACATTATTTCATCACCTTCTTTATATTGCTTGGTAAGCTTCAGTGGACACTGAAGATATCGAAAGTTATATTCAACCTATATAAATATGAAGTAAGAAGATATCAGATTATTTTTAATGAAATAATTTATTAATTTAACAGCAAAGCTTGAAAAGGTGCCGGCTCTACCTGCAAAAATCCAAGAAGTAATAGGCACCCTTACAGCTGGTTAACTGAATGCTTTATAACCATGTAGGAATGTGGAATTGAATTTGTGTGTCCACTGTCCAGGTCTCTGCATGGGTACCCACAACCAGAGAGAATAAAATTCTTACAATCTCTGCATCAACATTCCCCATAACTAGCACCTTTTTCCAGTTTGTCTTATGTGTCTAACCATGCTTTCATAGAATCATAGAGTTGGAAGAAACCTCGTGGGCCATTCAGTCCAACCTCCTGCCAAGATGCAGGAAAATCACATTGAAAGCACCCCTGACAGATGGCCATCCAGCCTCTGTTTAAAAGCCTCCAAAGAAGGAGCCTCAACCACATTCCAGTGCAGAGAGTTCCACTGCTGAACAACTCTCACAGTCAGGAAGTTCTTCCTGATGTTCAGATGGAATCTCCTTTCTTGTAGTTTGGGGTAGTTGAGGCAGTTCTACCTCTTACCAAGAACATCCCTAAATGGAATTGTTAGTTTCAATGACCTCAAAACCACTGAATCAATCTAATTTAAACTTCCCAAATTTCCATTAATTTAATGGGTCAATTTTAATTGAGAACAATTGCATTTTGGGTGTACAGATTTGAGCATTGGACTACAACTATGGAGACAGTTTCAAATCCCTTTTCAGCTATGGAAATCCACTGGGCAACTTTAGGAAAATCACACACTCTCAGGCTCAAACCCACTGAAAAAATCTTGTCATGAAAATCTTGTGATTCACTGTAGGGATGCCATAGGTTGGAAATGACTTGATGGGACACAATAACAAATTGAATTTTGGTTTAATTTTTCCTAGTACCCTAACTGTTGTCACTATATCATTTCGGAAAACACTGTCTAAACAAATGTATTATTACTCCGTAAAATACAGTTTCTTATGTAAAACTTTTACAAAAGTTATTAAGTAATACTTTGATTAGTTTCACTTTGATTTACCCACCCAATAGACTGACAAACTACGCTTATACTTATTATAACAGGCTTCTTTAAACTAATCATAGTTACATTTAACCATAAATCTTTGTCTAAATCACTGTTTCTTAAACTGTGTGTTCTAATGTCCTTAGCTCAGTTTTGGGGCCACAAAAAATTGGTAACAGTAAAAGATTTCTGAACAATACCCATTCATGAAAGGGGTCGTGAGTGGAAAAGTTTTACTAGCCCTGGTCTACGTGACACAATAAGCAAAATTAGTTAAAAGACAAAGCCAAATCTTTTCATCTCTTTCCAGCCTCACAAATGAAAACAGAGAAAGACTTGGCAAACTCAAGCCTGTGTGATACTTCCTCAATTTCATTCAAATCATGTTTAACAATGGATTAGTAGGATATGTGAACATCTACACTATTTCTAGTAAATTTCCATTTTTAAAAAGACTACTACAATAAAAATGCACAGGAACACCAAATTTGTCTTGATGATCTTATTTAAAACAAAACGTCTAATGCTTCAGTTACTCTAAAATATCTCAAGATAATAAACATTGGTTTTAACTTACATGAAAGTCTCTGCAAGTCTTTTCTTCACATGATTCAACCATGCAGTTGTCTAAAACTAACTTATAGATACAAAGAAAAATATTTCACTAGCTTGAAACAACACAAGAGCAAGTCTGAGTTCAAAAAAAAGAATATTGAACAGCACATCTGAATGACTCCGCTAGTAACTTAGGCCCTTTCTACACTGCTGTACAGAATTCAGATTACCTGTTTTGATCTGGATTATATGGAAATGTAGATACATATAATCAAGTTCAAAGCAGATAATGTGGATTTTCATATTTGATAATCTGGATTATATGGCAGTGTAGAGGTGGCCTTAGGCTGGATCTGCACTATATCTCAGGATATCATCCCTGATTATCTGCTTATCCAGAATGTCTAGCAGTGTAGACTCATAGAATCCAGTTCAAAGCAAATAATCTGGGATCTGATCCTTTGATATATGCAGTGTAGATTCAGCTTAAATTCTATGATTTGAGATTGTAACTGAAATGGGTAGTTCACAAAAATTGGTTAAAATTTCCAGCACAAGATCATACATTCAAATGCACTTCAAAACTTGGTTCATGTTTTGAGCAATTCAGATGTATTATTTCAAATATTAAAAAGCATTTAAAATAATTTACATAAAACTATTCTAAATAGTTGATATATCATTACAGAAATATTTATCCGGTATCTGAAATACACATCTATGAACCATACTTCTACTGTAACAAATGGTTTTACAAGTAAAAGTATGCCTGTATGTCTAACTTTTCTTGCATACTACTTTAGCATAAGACGTTCAACTAGTATTTCACTTATAAAGAGACATCATCCCATCTAATCCTATATGATTGTCACAATTATAAAAATTAAATTGATCACCATATATAGCCTTACTTTAAGACATTCAGGAAGATATTCAACCATCTCCAGAATGGCACATTTATTTGCAGATGAGTAATGAGAAAATGTTGTCATGGACTCTTCCCACCTGAAACAGTTAATTGAAGGGGCTCAGAATATTTATTGTAGTAAAGAAGAGACATATTAGTACATCTTAAGATATGGTATGATTAAGATTAAGATAACATTCACATGTATTCAAATCACCTATAACTCAGTTGTAAATTTGCTGCATATAAACTTAATAGTGGCAGTGTTTTAGAAAATAGTATCATGCCTGAAACTCCAAGATGAACGTAGACTTTGCTACCAACACGGCACTCAACAAATGTCAACATGGAGTAGGATGGGGCGGAAAATGGTCGATTGTATAAAAAGCAGAGTTCATGTCTAGGGCTGCCTGCCTGACCAAACTGGGATGAACTCAATGTCCCAGTGCAGCTAGTACCTGTTCTCTTGAGCCAGAAAAAAAATATTTCACATTGAAATCTATCTCTTAGCTCATTATATCAATGAAATTTGTAATTCAGTTTCTTTATCTTCAACTACAAGAAAGTTTCATTACATATGTTTGTTTTTATTTGTGCCTTCTTGTTCTAGTCTCTCCCTTTTCAAAGCTTTTGTTTTGCTGATGCTATCTTGATCCGTTGCTTCTCCCCACTAATTTTAGACTAAGGTGCCCATTCCCCTCCCACACTACATTGCTATGAAAAAGACTTACAAGCCTCATTTCCATTTGAATATAACAAAATATGGGGTAAAGCTATAAAGTATTTAGATGCAAAATGGAAGTTAAGGTTCTTAAATGTTCCTCTTCAACACTGCCATGCAACATGGGGTAGAACATTTCCTAAAGTACTCAAATTGGTACAACAGTTTTCATTTTACTTCCCTCGAATGTGGAATAGTTCAAACTCTCATCCAAGGAGCCTCATAATTATGTTTCTCAGTCACTCATCTTCATTTCATAATTTGCAAAATTCATTACAATTGGTGATAATTTCCTATCATAAACTTACCTTTTATGTAAAATGATAGCATTCACAACATCTTTGCGTCCATTATGTATGGCTTCATGAAGAAAAGATGCATCAGATTTGTTCAGGAGTATTTTTGCATTGTCATCAAGAAGCAGTCTAACTGCTTTTGCATGACCTTCTTTGGCAGCAAGATGAAGAGCTGTGTTCTTTATCCCACCATCACACCAGAAAAACGTAAAATATCATTTCATTACAGTATGAACAAAAGAGCATAGGTAAATGAATATGTAAATTATTTCATATTTCGTTTCCCTCATCTTCCTCTCCCTAATTCTTGTGTGTTGAGTTTTAGATTGTGTGGTCACTGAGACAGTTACCTGCTTCTTTTTTGCTAAACCATAATGCGCACTGATCACTGCAAATAAACCCAATACTCTTTTCAATGACAGTTCAGCTACACTGTCAATACCAGAGTTCTCTGCTGATATATCATAACAAACATCTTTTCTTCCACTTAACTGCCCACTTCTTATTCTAAATTTTGCAACTTATAAATATTTTTTTCATTAAATACGCTAAGTTTTTCTTTTCTCTCCATCACCTGTTAGTTAAATAGTTTTCACACTAGTGTCATGGTCTCAGCAGCAAAAGAGGTGAGAAAACAGACACCAAAGGGCGCATCCAGACAGCATCTAAAGCGCGTGTTCTCCCACGTGTTCTCGTGGAGTGTCCTAATGACACCCTACATAAACACCACTGCATTTGGCACGAAGCAGGAAAACTTTGTTTTGTGCCACGGTAATTTGTTAGCAAGAAAGACGAGGGTCTTCTTGAAAGACCCACATCTTTCCCACTGTGGGCAGAAGAGTCTGGACTGTCTCCTGAGAAGTCCTGGGACTTCTGAAGGGGCCATACACACAGCCCCTCATGTTTTCCGGCCTTCATGAGACCAGAATATCTGAGAGGGCTCTCCCCAAACCCCCAAGAAAATCATTTAAAAATAAAATAACATACCCAGCCACCATTAAAGTGCTGCCAAAGCTCTCCTGGTGTGTAGGAATGATGCACCAGGAGAAAAGGAGAGGAGAAAATCACTCCTGGCCCTGCTTTCTCCTGGCATATCATTTCTACACACCAGGAGAGCTAAAGTAGCACTTTAATGGTGGGCTGGATAAGTTACTTTATCTTTAAATGCATTTTAAAAGATTTTTGTGAGTGGGTGGGGGCATTTGGACACAACCCCCCCCCCCCAAAAAAAAAGCATGTGCTTTCTGGGGGAGGAGTGTGGACTAGAAGCCAGGAATAAAAGTGATTGCTCCTGAGTTAAAGGGCGGAGTGGAACCATCAAAAGATGTTTGCCTACAGAAAAAAAATGTTTTTAAGATGCAATTAAATTATTTTTAGAAGTTTGAACATGATACATTACCACTGCAGTTCTATTCATACTTGACTTACTTTCAAGTAAAGAACAAAAGATAAAATAGATGATCATGTTGATCTCAGTTAAATATATTTACTTCTAGTAAAGATAATATAGGCATGATCAAAATATAGTATAAAATTACAAAAAAGCAAATGTTAAAACATATCTGACTTTTCAGCAGCCTATTTAGTGGTTTAATTTCGCAGCAATGTTTCATGCCTCATAAAATAACTTCCCTATACATTTTTAAACACTCAGAAATATGGAACCTCTACATGCATTGTTCCTGAAGTTAATGTGAGCCTACTGACTTCAAACAGTGGATAGAATCACACACCATATATATAGAATCTGTATTTCTGTGAAATACCTTACAATTCAGTTTACTTGTTAAGTCATATATGAGATGGAATTATAAACCTGGTAATTTAATCATTCTGTTTCCCAGTTAAAACTATATTTCTACAAACTTACTATCAATAATCTATATTCTTGCGAGTTGAACAGTACATGAAGAGGATGCTCCATAATACTTTACAATATTATAGACAGAAACCTACCCCTTCTTCATCCACTTTATCTGTGCACTTCACATTTGTATTCAAAATTATCTGCATTGTGCGAGTGTAACCTCCAAAGGCAGCATGATGCAAAGCTGTCCATCCTTTATAATCACTTTTAGAGGAGGAAAGGGATTGAAATGTATCAGAACAAAGATCTACTGTTTTATGAAAAAAGTTAACCATAAACATTGTGGGAATGAATGGGATAAAATTTTAGGGACAAATGTGATGGGGAATATGGTGGAAAAATACTGTGGGGAGAAATGGGAATATTGCAGGGAGACAATATTATAAGATAGAAATGTGATATATGACATATTAGCATAATATTTACATAGAAATGGAAATATTAAGGCAAGAGTGGGGTCAATATTATCAAGGGAAATATGTGGGATTAAATAATAACAACAACAACAACAACAACAACAACAACAACAACAACAACTTTATTTATATGCCACCCTATCTCCCCAAGGGGACTCAAGGTGAATATTATTAATATGATGGGGATTATAGTGGGTAATTTATTTGGCGAGAAATGGGAATAATGTGGAGAGACAGAGGGGAACTGTGGTAGGTAAATATTTGTGAGGGGGGGAATAGGAATACGTAGACATATGATGGGGAATATGTTGAGGTAATATGGTATGGAGAAATTGGAATATTCTGTGGATAACATGTGGCCAATATTATAGGGGGAAATGTGTGGGATTATTGTGAGGGGATATATAATGGGAAGTAAGGTCAACTTATAATGTCTTATCCTAAAAGACACCAGATCTTACCTGATCCTGGAAACTAGGCAGAGTCAGCCCTGGCTAGTACTTGTATGGGAGACTGCTAACAAATATCAGATGCTGTAGGTTCAATTTCATATTACAGAACTGACAAAACCATATCTACATATTTCTTACCTAAGAAAACTGTATGAAATTCATGGAGTCACCACAGGTTGACAGGTGACTTGAAGGCATGCCACACACACAAGGCTATCAAACAAGGCTATCCGGGACCCACCGAGGCTCCTCGGCGCTGCGGTATCGTTCCCTTTAGGGGGGATTCTGACTTAGAGGCGTTCAGTCATAATCCCACACAAGGCTATCTTTATATTGCGAAACAAAAAAAGGAGAAAATGTATAACCATTTGCACTTACCAGAGGAAAAGGGCACCTTTCCTCAGGAGAAACTGTACCACCTTCTCATGACCATTTTGAGCAGCCAAGTGAAGAGGTGTCATCCCTTTCTTGTCTCCTTCATTCAAAAGTCTGGTATCTTCCATATCTCGCAAAAGTCGTTGGCAGGTGTTGATTCGTCCATAGCTACACAATAAATTATGTTCAATTTACCAAATAAAGTGGTATCTATAACGAAAGTTGGGCAATGAGGAAAATCAGAGTCTTACCTAGCAGCAAAATGCAAAGGAGATTTCTTGTCTCTACTTTTAGAATAGATGGAAACATCCAGTTCAAGGAGGCTATTAACTGAAAGAGGAACACCTTGTCGGCAAGCATAATGCAGCGGAGTGCACCCTTCATTGTCTTCATCAGTTACAAGTTCTTTAATATGCTTCATCTGTCACAGACAAAAAGTAGTCTCTATTAACACAGATCTATGGGAGCCATGTGGCATTTACATTCAGGTTTACCAATTATTTTGATTTTTCTGCAAAGATGTCCAGTAAACCTGGATCAAACTAAGTGAACAAAGAACTAGAAACAATTGTGTTTTATCTTACATTTTTCTCCTTTATGAGTCACTTTTCAACAATAATATGTGTAAATTTAATATAATGTAAAGTTTAAATAGCATTCTTGAATGCCATGAGAAAGTTTCAAATCTGAACAGAGTCTCATAAGCATGTTCTGAAATAAAAAGCAATTTCTTAAAAATATAAATCCGTGAATCCATTATTAACCGACACTAATAGAGACCAGTTTTACCTTCAAAAATTGGTCATTCAGATGTTTTAATCCTCCAGGGTGCAATACTGTTAAATGCAAAAAATTACGACCGAGGTGATCTTTTAATTCTACATTTGCCCCTAAAAAAAGTAGAGAGAAATCAGTGTTTCAAAACTATGAATATTAATAGAGCTTTGCATCCCATTGTTTTTATTCTTTCCTACCTTTTGAGAGCAACAAATTCACAATTTTCCATGATGCACATGAAGTAGCAAGCAGTAGTGGAGTTCGACCCTCAATGTCAACACTATCTATCTTTGCTCCCTGTAAGTAAAAATCCATCAAAATGTATGATTTTAAAAAAATATCAGTGCAGGCAATAAAGCCTGCATGTCACATATGTTTCATTTCAGAGATGCAACAGCTGATGTTTTTCCCATTGCAAGTGGGTTTTTTAAACCCATGCTTTTGGCAGTCCTGCAAGCAAACACACATATGTATCGTTTCTTCATATCCCAGCCTATACTGAAGAAATAATTTTCAAATGTCCATTATTCAATAACATCAGATCGATTCATAAAGTACATATCTTACCCTGTCAATTTCCTGTGTTAACATCACAGGAAATTAATTATTTTAAGTGTCTCTTTTGTGCATACTATTATGCCATCTGGCATCAGGGTTAGTGCCAATCTTTATTACCATAAGAAATTCAATTAAAATTAAATATTTACCATTGTTATCAGATATTCTGCCAGTTCATAGTGATCAAATAGTGCAACCCTGTGGGCAAGAAGAAAAACAAACAAATTTTCACAACAAATACACAAGAAAAATTAAGATCCTCTGAAGATGCCGGCCACAGATGGAGGTGAAACTTCAGGAGAAAATGCTGCTAGAACATGACCATACAGCCTGCAAACCACACAACAATTGCCTTTGACAATACAAAAATTATGTAGTTCTGCTAATAACATGGAAAGATCATATCAGATTCTGACCATTGTCCTCAACTTTCCATGCAAATGTTAATCAATAACTGCTAAAGTACTGTTCCGTTCTTATCAGCAGTGACAGTGAGGAATTCCCTTTGAACTACGTCAGCTCCACTGGCTGCCAGTTTGCTATTGAGCACAATTCAAAGTGCTGGCTTTAGCCTATAAAGCCCTAAACCGTGCCAGCCCAGTTTACCTATCCGAACGTATCTCCCTCTATGAACCACCTCAGAGGTTAAGATCCTTTGTGACTGCCCTGCTCTCGGTCCCACCCTCCTCGCAAGCACAGTTTATGGGGATGAGAGACAGGGCCTTCTTAGTGGTGGCTCCTTGGTTGTGGAACTCCCTTCCGAGTGATATTAGATCAGTCCTTTCCCTCCTGGCCTTCAGAAAGAAAGTGAAAACGTGGTTTTGGAACCAAGCCTTTGGATAATAATTGTAGAGCAATAAATGGATACGGAATATGTGTAATGACTACAGGAATTGCCCCAGATTATGATTGTGGATGGCGTGGTTTTAAGAGATTAAATGTTTTAATTTGCGGTTTTAATTTAAATTTCGATTTTAATTGTATTTTGGGGTTTTTTTGGTATTGAATTGTTGCCTATTTGTAAAGCTACCTTGAATCCCCTTTGCAGTAAAAAGAGTGGGGTACAAATACAGTAAATAAATAAATAATAAATTCAATTACATGTGCCTTCCAAAAATTAAAACTTTGTAATCATACTGATTGAAACACAAGGACTGTTTATTATATTTTTATATTGATTATATTTTATTGAATAACAATATCCAGCTTCCCAATGATTATGGACTACATTCTCCCCCATCCCACCATCAACTCAACAGTTCACTGAGGATTATAAACTGACAACTATAAGTTGACCACAAAGTTGTCCAAATGGGATTAATGGTCTAGCCAATTAGAGGATATGTACATAAGATAAAAATGCAATCCTTCCTTCTTCAAGCAGACTTCTTCAAATTTATAAACATAAACAACTTAATAATAAAAGCGAAAGGTGATAAATACAGTGGAAATTAGGCAAAGGTATTACCTGTGAAGCAGTGTTTCCTTATTTCCATCTAAAGCATCAATGATAGGTTCATCACCAGTATAAGATGACATCATTAATTTAAGTATTTCAGTAGCTCCTTGGGTAGCAGCAAAGTGAAGAGCTGTGCATTTATCATTCTATAAATGGGAATATAAAACACAAGAAAACCTCACACTCACCCAAATCCTTTGTTTAAAGACTCAAAAAACAGGCCATAGTCTCCAAATATTGCTTTATTATGGTTCCTCCTTAAGCCTTATCTGTAACACACACACATACACACACACTCATGGAAGATAAAGACAGAGAGAGGAGGGATGCAATGCTATTATTATTCTATATAATTCTATTTCTGACCTTCACACTAAATTTATATGAGAATATGTCATGCAATAGTTACTTAGATTTTATGGATGAAAAATTCTCATTCCATGAAATCAGTAGTGATTTTAAAGTGCTTTGTTCTGACCTTGGATTGTGACCAATAAATTAAAACAGTGGTGTGTTTGGTGAGCTGTTACCTGTTTGAGATCAATCTGTGCTCCATATTCAATGCACATTTTAATCATTTCCAAGTCTCCACTTTGAACCGCTAAATGAAGGGGAGTACACTTCCCATTATTTGTAAAATTGATGTGATTTTCATGGGAATAGCCCAACTCTTCACCTTAAAAATTGAGAAAGAGAGAGAGAGTGAGAAGGGAAATTCCTCATTTAAATTGTCAAATGTGTTTACTGTATCTAAAAAAACAATGCTGCCTGCTTTTTGTTTTGTTATTGGAAATGCTCCATGATGTCTAATATTTGTTTTCCTTAGTTGTCTTTTGGGCAAGAAACCATTTTGACCTTGGTCTTGATGTATAATTTCTTGTAAAACATTTTAAAGTCTTTCTACAAGAAATTATATATAATTTTTAACCAAATATTTTATAATCACCATTTACCTAGAATACATGTCTATAGTTATTTGCTCTCATCAAATCTTGACCTTCTTTAGGTATTTGTGTTATTGTGACCTCCTTCCATGTATTTGGAATTTTCTCCCTTTTCAAATTGAATTCAATGTCTGTTGCATTGGTCTACACAATTATAATCTTGATCCCCACACCTGCTGCTATTACATGGTTTATGCAAATATATTTCATTATGAATATAAAACAAATATTTGGTTTGATATAACCTCCAAGAATATTGTTTAGCTGATAAAAAGGTAATAAGATGTTTCTTTCTGAAGAAAGAATCCAATGACTTATAGAAGTTTAGTAAAAATTGCACTCTGGATCATAGCTCAGTATTATGAGAACAAGCTTAAGATACATTTGGGCTTGTGGTTCCCCTGATCTAACTCATCCTCCAGCACAAAAACAAGAAGATCAGACTCTTCTGCTACCATTGTACAATAAACCATTTAGTGTGCCACCAGAACAGTACTATTGTTAAGCTATTGCAGCTGTGTGGATTGTTTATAACAGCCTCGAAATATGTGCAATTGATCTTTGGAATGGCCCCAGATTATGATTGAGGATGGTGTGATTTTAACAGCGAATGCAATGTTTTATATGCTTTAATGTGCATTTAATTTTAATTTTTAATTTAGGTGTATTTTAGTTGTTTGTTGTCCAAAGGCATTGAATAGTTACCATATGTAAAGCCACCTTGAGTCCCCTTCAGGATAGAGAAAGGAGGGATACAAATAGAGTAAATAAAATAAATAAATTTATATTCTTTTTGTCCAAACAGGTTCACTCATTGAGAAAAGTATTATTATTATTACTATTATTATTATTTTACTGACACAAAAACACAGTATGTCACAGAAAATGAGATATATATGCTGGATTTCGTGTTGCAAAATCACAAGTCGAACACTTCCCAAGCGTCTAGGACTGTGTGATGTATTTTCGAATAATGTGCGCAGATCCAAGTAAGGTGGCCTTTTGTAGCTGACAGATCATGACTTTTTCAATGTTTATTGTTTCCAAATACTGGCTGAGATTTTTTGACATGGCACCCAGTGTGCCGATGACCACTGGGACCACCTGTACTTGTTTATGCCAGAGCCTCAAATTCGGAGCAATTCGAATTTGAGGTCCTGCTAAGGGCTGAATTTTTCCTGTTGTTTTTCCTCAGTGTCACCTAGTATGGCGAAATCAATAATCCAAACTTTTCCCCCCCCACAATCGTGATGTCTGGTGTATTTTGTTCCAAAACTTGTCTGTCTGGATTCGAAAGTCCCACAGTATTTTTGCGTGTTTATTTTCTACTACCTTTGAAGGTTTATGATCCCACCAGTTCTTTACTACTGGCAGGTGGTACTTGTGACATAAGTTCCAATGAGTCATACCCCACTTTTTCTCTCCACAAGGAGACTCAGAGTGGCTTTAAAATGGCATGATTGACCCAAAAATGTTTCCACAACTAAATCACAAGACTGTTTTAGTATGCCAATTTATATTACAGTTACCAGTTCAAATAACAGTGATACAGTATAATGTCTTACAAATGGAATATCTAGCATGAGAACACTTTAACACAATCAACTAACATTTAACACAGCCAACTATCTGTTGCTCTGAGCATAGGAAACATACACTCCAAATATAGCCTACAAGAAGCAGCCCTGAATGAGACCTGCTGTGATTTTTTTGATAAATATTAAAGGATAGTGTACATACCCCTTTTTATAAGAATTTCCATGCATACTTTTGCACCAGAGAATGCAGCTGCATGGACTGGCATCCAACCCATACTGTTTCCTTTACATATCTTAGCACCATTTTCTATCTGTAAGAAACATAGTTAGACAAGTAATTTCAAACATTTCACAAGAAATATGCAACTCGTTGCATGTAAAACATGTAAAACATTTATGTGTTTATTTCAAAAAACTCTTTTTACATCTATAATTTTAACTGAATGAGGTCTAGCATCCATAATAGAGTACTTGTCCATAGACGAGAACGGAAACAAAATTGACCAGAAATGCCAATCAGTTCCTTTTGCTGATAAAATGGTTTCTATAGCCAAATGGTGAAAGCGGATTCCCTCAACCCCTGTAGCTGCTTGAATACTTTAAAAATCTTATTCATAAAGTTGGATGGGCCTCTAGAGTACTACTATTCAAAGTTATAGTTGCTAGTACCCGAAATTCATAACATCTCAGCAGTTATTAAACTTTCAGACAAATACTTACCGACAGAGATCTGCAAGGAGAGAAGAGCTCATTTAGTGACAGCTAAATAGAAACACACTGACAAAAGATCAATTGTGATACATACCAGAAGCTTGAGTGCCTCAGAATTATCTTTATAACATGCTATTGTTATAGGTGTATTTCCACTTTCTCCTTCCAAGTTTACATCTGTGGTGGTGTGTTCAACAAAAATCTAAATATTAAAATAAAATGTATTAGTTTAGTTCTTCGGTTAAGTCATTCCTATACCAATTTAAGGAGAAATAAGTTATAGGAATAGGCTACAAGATTTTCATTTTGCTGAAGAGTAACAGTCATCAAGCAACACACATTTGGCAACCACTTTCCTGCTCCATAGGCTACTACAGAGCAAAAGGCTGGAGGCACAGTT